CCACCACTGAATTTTACCAAACATTTAGAGAAGACCTAATACCCATCCTCAAAATTTACCAAAAAGTAGAAGAGGAGGGAATACTTCCAGACTCATTCTATGAGGCTAGCATTACCCTAATATCAAAACCAGTCAAAGACACCACAAAAAAAAATTACAGACCCGTATCCCTGATGAACATAGATGCAAAAATACTCAACAAAATATTAGCAAATCGAATTCAAAAATATATCAAAAAGATCATCCGTCATCATCAAGTAGGATTTATTCCAGGGATGCAAGGATGGTATAATATTCAAAAATCCATCAATATCATCCACCACATCAACAAAAAGGACCAAAACCACATGATCATCTCCATAGATGCTGAAAAAGCATTCGACAAAATTCAACATCCATTCATAATAAAAACTCTCAACAAAATGGGTATAGAGGGCAAGTACCTCAACATAATAAAGGCCATATCTGACAGACACACGGTCAACATTATACTTAACAGCAGGAAGCTGAAAGCTTTTCCGTTAATATCAGGAAAAAGACAAGGATGCCCACTCTCCCCGCTTTTATACAACATAGTTCCGGAGGTCCTACCACAGTAATCAGACAACACAAAGAAAGAAGAGGCATCCAGATTGGTAAAGAAGAAGTTAAGCAGTCACTCTTTGCAGATAACATGATATTGTACATAAAAAGCCCTGAAGAGTCCACCCCAAAACTACTAGAACTAATAACTGAATTCAACAAAGTTGCAGGATACAAAATTAATACACAGAAATCTGTTGCATTCCTATATACTAATGATGAATTAGCAAAAAGAGAAATAAAGAAAAAATTCCATTCACAATTACACCAAAAAGAATAAAATACCTTGGAATAAACCTAGCCAAGGAAGTGAAAGACCTATACCCTGAAAACTACAAGACACTCATGAGAGAAATTAAACAAGATACCAGTAAATGGAAATGCATTATGTGCTCATGGATAGAAAGAATTAATATTGTCAACATGGTCATCCTGCCTAAAGCAATCTACAGATTCAATGCAAAACCTATCAAAATACCAATGGCATTCTTCAACAAACTAGAGCAAATAGTTCTAAAATTCATATGGGACCACAAAAGACCCCAAATAGCCAAAGCAATCCTGGAAGGAAGAATAAAGCTGGGGGGATTACACTCCCCTACATCAAGCTCTACTACAAAGCCACAGTAATCAAGGCAATTTGGTACTGGCACAAGAACAGACCCATAGATCAATGGAACAGAAAAGAGAGCCCAGATATAAATCCAAGAATATATGGTCAATTAATATATGATAAAGGAGCCATGGATATACAATGGGGAAATGACAGTCTCTTCAACAACTGGTGTTGGCAAAACTTGACAGCTACATGTAGGAGAATGAAACTGGACTATTGTGTAACTCCATACACAAAAATAAACTTGAAATGGATCAAAGATCTGAATATAAGTCATGAAATGATAAAACTCTTCAAAGAGAACATAGGCAAAAATCTCCTGAATATAAACATAAGCAACTTTTTCCTGAACACGTGTCCTTGGGCAAGGTAAACAAAAGCAAAAATGAACAAATGGGACTACATCAAGCTAAAAAGCTTCTGTGCAGCAAAGGACATCATCAGTAAAACAAAAAGGCATCCTACAGTATGGGAGAATATATTTGTAAATGATATATCTAATAAGGGGTTAACATCCAAAATGTATAAAGACCTCACATGCCTCAACAATCAAAAAGCAAATAATCTGATTAAAAAATGGGCAGAGGATATGAACAGACAATTCTCCAAAGAAGAAATTCAGATGCCAAACAGGCACATGCCAGACAGGCACATGAAAATATGCTCCACATTGCTAATTATCAGGGAAATGCAAATTAAAACCTCATGAGATATATCACCTCACACCAGCTAGTATAGCCAACATCAAAAACACTATGAACAACAAATACTGGCAAAGATGTGGAGAAAGGGGAACCCTCCTACACTGTTGGGGGGAATGTAAATTAGTTCAACTATTGTGGAAAGCAATATGGAGGTTCTTCAAAAAGCTAAAAATAGAAATGCCATTTGACCCGAGAATTACATTCCTAGGAATTTACCCAAAGAAAACAAGTTTTCAGATTCAAAAAGATATATGCACCCCTATGTTTATTACAGCACTATTTACAATAGCCAAGATATGGAAGCAACCTAAGTGTCCATCAGTAGATGAATGGATAAAGAAGAGGTGGTACATATACACGATGGAATACTATTCAGTCATAAGAAGAAAACAAGTCCTACCATTTGCAAAAACATGGACAGAGCCAGAGGGTATTATGCTCAGCGAAATAAGCCAGGCAGAGAAAGACAAGTACCAAATGATTTCCCTCATTTGTGGAGTATAACAATGAAGCAAAACTGAAGGAACAAAACAGCAGAAGCCTAACAGACTCCAAGAAGGGACTAGCGATCACTAAAGAGGAGGTATGGGGGAGGGGAGGTGGGGAGGGAAGGAGAAGGGGCTAGAGGAGTATTATGATTGGCACACATGATGTGGATTGGTCTTGGGGAAGACAATGTAGCACAAAGAAGACAAGTAGTGACTCTGTGGCATCTTACTGCACTGATGGACAGTGACTTCAATGAGGTATGGGGGGGGACTTGATAATATGGGTGAATATAATAACCACAATGTTTTTCATGTGAAACCTTCATAAGAATGTTTATCGATGATACCTTAAAAAAAAAGAATGTTAATCCCATTCATCAAAGCACCATCCTCATGACCTAATCACTGTCCAGAGGTTCCACCTCCTAAATACCACCACATTGGGGGTTCATATTTCAACATAGGAATTTTGGCTTCATATAATGCTTGGGTTCATTAATGTTTAGGGGCTACAAACATTAAGATCAAGGGAGAATCTTAGATCCAAATTTTTTATGGGTATTCTTTCTTCTGGAAATTTGGAGCCACTATAACATATAGTGGCTTATAAAAGCAATTCTTTATGTTTCCATATAGGTTTGCCTTATAACTTTCAAGGTCCAAAAAAACCCAAAAAGATCTAAAAAAGCAACAACAGTAAATCTAAAGATAGTTGGAAGAAGGAAATAATAAAGAACCAAAATTCTTGAAATAGGAAGCAAAGTTAATAGCATCAACAAAACCAAAGCTAGTTCTTTGAAAACATTTTCTGTTCAAAACTAAAGAGACAGATGGGAAAACTACTTAAAGAAAAACAAAAGGTACAAATATTGAGAGAAAAGTGTAAACAGCTTAAAATACAGTATAATTATTTAATTATAGCAGTACTGTGCAAACTTTATAAAGTTCAAAATTAAATCTGAAAATGCAGATTAAATAATTTTCTGGGAAAATATAATCAAAATGACTAAAGAGCAAACCTATGTGAACCAGTACTCCTTAAGAAATTGAATTACTAATCAAAATCACCCCCCTGCAATAAAACAATCCCAGATAGTTTTATAGTCTAGTCGAGTTTTACCAAACCTTTATTCAGAAACCCATAACCCAAGGAACACTACCCACCTTATTCTGTGAAGCTATATAACCTAATGCCATTTCAAAATATTTACAAATGATGTCACTTTTATGCAGTCTGAACACTTGAAACTCACACTATTGTTTATTGGAATAGTCATTGGTAGTGAGAAAGGCAGACATCAACTTTAAGGCCATGGCAACTTCTGGAAAGGGAAGGAAATGAATGGGAAATGGGCAAGAGAGTTACATAGAGAATTTCAATTACATTGTTAATGTTTTAATTCTTGGGGCTGAATCTGAAGTAAATTAAGGTACAATGTTATGATTTGATGAAGCTGAATAGTATGTACAGATTTTTATTGCTTTGATTTCTATACTTTAATGTATATTTAGAATGACTCATAAATTTCATAAATTCTGCAGATTATATTCCTAAAGTGTATGGCTTCCAATTGGTCAGATATCTTAGAATTGCAAGTAGAGTATATAATACCAGACTTACGATAAGTCAGCTAAATTTTTGTGGATATTTCACAAATTTCCTTCCCAAGGGCATTCAATTTAATTTTTCTTCAGTACCTTGCTAAGAAGTATCGAGCATTTATAAATAAATTTTAGGCAAAATGGCAGAAGACAGAAGTGGGAAAAAGCAAAGTCCCTTTAAAGAAAAGTATTGTTTGGTTTCAAATATGCCGAATGGATATGTGTCACAGATCATGATAAACAAAGTCTCCTGTGTTGGACACAGCTCACGCCAAAGATTTGGATTTGGGAAATAGTTATGTGGAGGCCAGAGTAATAGAGTGGGCTGCTGTTACAGGGTAATTAGCTGATCTTCAGTAGGGGGAGCAAAGAGAAGAGAAGGTTTCCTTGGGGTGTTTCAGAATTACCCAGGAGCATTTCCAAAGTACACATAGCCCACCACCACCATCCTGCTCTCCCCATAACCATCATTGCCCATGTGAGCAGTGAGTGTTGAGTTAAAATAAACCTGCAGACCACTTGTATGGAGGGAAAAGAACAAAGGGGTAAGAGCTTATACCCACATTTAGGGTGTAAATATGAAGGAAGAAGCACTTGATAGATGGCTCTTGGGAAAGACAGACAATCAAAGGACTAACAGAACATAAGGTCAAATAAAATAAACCATCTAACAGGAGATACCAGATAAGTGCACCAGGGACCCACCCACCATTGCTTTTAACTCAGACTTGGAAAGGGGTTTGTCAGGGAAGATTGAAAAACGGTAAGAAGGGTTTCATGGGTAAAGAAGTAAGGAAAGAAAATCCAAGCCTGAAAGAAAAGCATATAAGCATGAGTGGGTGGCAGGTTGGCTGACCTCCTGGTGTCCCAGCAAGACCACATCCTGCAGCCCCAGCACAGGGTGGCAGGGAGGTGGGGCTCCTCTCTAGTTACAGCAGTCCATAATCTTGCAAAAGGTTGTCTGAACAGTGTGCCCTGTGATATCATAATGTCAAATACAATTTGCAGGAATGTACAGAAAGACGAATGTTTAACCAGACCTTTCCAACATCTCCATTCATCTACTACTATGATGACAAGCATGAAATTCGGGAGAGAGAACAGAGAATAAAACGAAAAGTAAAAGGTATGTTATTAAACTTGTTATATCACCTTTGCAATATTTCCAAAATTTCTTTCTTTGCTCTGCGTTTGACTACTTTTGCAGTCACTGGTCATTTGCCAGCATTGGGATTCATAAGATTTTTTTTTAATTACCATAGAAACTGGAACTTCCTTGATCTCCAACAATCAAGCACCCACTTAAAAAAATCCTTTGTTGAAAGTTGTTTACAATCAAACTTTTTCCTCACATAATGATCATCTTAGAAAATGTCCAGAAAATATTTCTATTCATGTATGTGTGCAGAATTTTTTAAAGCTGTTACGAGATTTTTGTGTTTGACAAGTAATTGTTTTTACCCTTTGTATGACTTTAGTAATTTTCATGGAAAGAAAGGCTTTGCCTGCCAGGTGTTGCCTGAAGTTTCCCCAAAAAAGTTATTTCTTATTGGCCACAATTACAAGTAAAGCTCCAAGTCCACAGCTACTCTCTGTGGTTTCTCTTTTTACTGGTGCTGATACGGAGTTCTTTCTCACCGAATCATCTTACAATTTAAGCCTGTTTTCTCTACCTCTGTCTTTCTTGCTATATACTTCAAGACGGTTTACCAAGTTACTTTTCTTGCTTTCTCTGTTTTTTCAAGTTGACCTCTTTTAGCCTTCTTGTTACGCTGTTGCAGACTCTTCCTGAGTTCAGGCCCTTTTCAAAATGAAGATACTAATTCTGGAAGAAAGTGGAGGAATTACTTATCAACTCCTGCATGTTTTACATACTCTATTTCATGAAAAATTTATTTCCATTATATATAGGAAATTATAGTACATGAAGTTAATGATTAAGCAACTAGATTTTTAAAAAGATTAAAAAGAAATGTACCAAAGTGTCATCTCTGGATTAAAGATTATAGTACTTTTGTTCTATTTTCTTTATATATTTCTGTATTTCCCAAGTTTTCGATAATGAGCATTAATAACTTTTACAGAGAACAATTATTTGTTTTCCTTTTTAACTAGTTGTATTGACAACTCTGTGGCATAGATCCATTTTGAGGCTCTTTATCATCCACTGAAATTTCTATTTTATGATGAAGTCTATAATTACTTATTTCTGCTCTACAGACTACAATTCTTTGTCCCCTAAATACATGACTTTGTACTTCCATTTTTTTTATCAGCTACTTCTTTAATCTTTCAAGGTTCTTTTAACATGTTAGTTTTCATACATTGCTGTAATCTCATCTCCCACCTACCCTGGTAAAATATAGCATCAGGTCTGGCACTGAAGCCTCTAAGATATGCATATGCACACTTAGTCTCCAAACCAGTTGATGTCTGCTCAGGGGGGAATATCCATCTTAAGTACTCTAGCTAGACTTTATCTTCAGAAGGTAAGTGAAATGTCATGTGAGACTGTCAAGGGCCATTTTATACCTCTTGCTTTACTTTATAATCAAGGGCAGTCTCTTTGTCACTGCAAGAACTTGAATTGGTCAGACATGACTTTTCTTGATAAAGCTGATTACTGCTCTCACTGGTCCTTGCTTCCATTGTTTAACCTGGTTAAACTGTACTGAATAGAATAAATATCACTGAATTTCTGGATGTTTCCCTTTTTTAGCAATCAGAAATACTTCATCCATACTATTTTTTAGTCAGTGATTTTTTACCTGAGTAAAGGGCTCTTCAGAATGTTTTATCATTAATGCATTAAATGTCTGGCTTCCTTCTCTACTAAAGTTGTTTACAGACCTATGAAAGCTCCGCATAGACTGTCTAGCTGCTGAATATGCAAAAATACGTTTATGTTTTCCAGAACTCCAGAAAAATGGTGATTTTCCAAGGCAGTTCAAGAGACCTCATGTGGAAGCATCATATAAGAGGCCCCACCATGGTATGAGGAAGAGCCAAGCCTTCTGGAGAAACAGTAGGTGGCCTCAAGAAAAGAAAGAAACCCAAAAGGAAACAATGAACAGGAGCAATAAAAAGCGTGAGAAGCACAGGAAGGCTGACAAGTGTCATGAAGCGGACGAAGACTTCCCCAGGGGCCCCCAGACCCACTCTTCTTCTGGCACTTTCAAAGCCCAGCGGCCTCACAGGCCCTTCCACCACTCATCACATTACCACAAGCCAGGAGAAGACAAGCCAGCCAAAGAGGGCAGGTGGGGCAAGCATAAGAAAAAGGGGAGCTATGTGGAGGACGACAGCAATGATAACTTATTTCTTATTAAGCAGAGGAAAAAAAAGTCTAAGCAGTGAAACAGCCTCTGATTCCACTTTCAGTGTTTGTCTGGTCTCCATGTCTACAACCTTCTGGCAATGTTTTTATTATCTATGATTAAATAAAGAAGTTTTTGTTTTTGTTTTTTTATCTCAGCCATATCTAGATCTTCAAAACCCATGGAGATCTCAGTTCTCTGTGTCTAAGAGGTTATTAGGTTAAAAAAAAAGAAAGATAAACTTGGACTTCCCCTTTTCCAGTGCATCATTTTTACTTAGAATCCTAAGGATAGGAAGAGGAAGAGTTCATCTTTTTCAAGAAACTTTTTATAGAAATACTTTGAAAAAATAAAAGCACACAAACATAATTCACCTGCAATGTAAGGAAGAAAGTTAAATCCTTGCAGGAAGAGAAATTAATGCTAATATGAAAAATTCATTAATCTTTTTCAAAATTACTTTCTTTTAACATGGAAAAGCAGAGTTATCAATCTAAATCCAGCTTTCTTGCTCCTGAAGCTGGTGTCAGATTTTTCCTTTGATCAAAGCATCACAGGCTGAAAAATGAAGGTGTCATCATCAAACCCTGAAAGAGGGCAGAGAATTGGACCGTAGCAAAATACAAGGAACCCATCCTATGTAAAAGCCACAAGGCAGATTTTCAGAAACAAGTGGAAAAGAGTCATCAAAAATTAGAACAATCACAATGAAATAGTTCTTATCATTTTTACAGCGACACTTCAAGAAGACTATCACTCAGAAATACAGAGATGAATATTGCCCAATTTAAAAAATTGTTTGTTTTCACAGGTTTTTTAACTACCACCACAAGGCTATACAGAAATTTTTGTACTTGTGAACCTTTTGTACTTAATCAAAGCCTAATGTTAGAATAAGAAAAATAAAATATCTGAAATAGAGTAAATAAATGTGTCCATTATGTAAACAGACAATGAGAGTTTGGGTGACAAAGGGCATGCTTGGGTTGGACAAGTGACTAAAGTTTTAAAATCTCCATAACCTTGGGTCAAAGTGCCCTTGTTGCCCAAGTATTAGCTCTTTCCCAGAATAAAATAAGATGGAGTCATTTAACTAGGACAATTTTATGATGTTGTATTCTTAACTTTGTGTTTCACTTTTTGTGACGTATACAAACTGCCATGCATCTGGTAGGATTGGCTCTCTTAATCTTTGGGAGGAAAGGGAGACTCCTCCTGAATCGGCGTTAGTGTGAATTGTACATCAGCAGTCTTTAGTCCAGTACCTTGTCTGTGGCTGCCTGGCTCTCAGCTAAGTAAGGTCCGTTGTGTGCTGGTGCATGGCTACCTATCATTAGTGAGGGTTGTTTTGACTCTTAAGATAAGGGCCCAGAGTCATTTAATACTCTCTAAAGTAGCTGCCTTGAAAAGTGGCTTCATAGAGTGGTGAGCCTTGAAATAGTTGGCATTATTATTCAATTCATTATGATTGTTGTGGTGTGACAGCATTTCTTCAGGTCAGAGGGAATTTCCTTTCAGGACAGAAAAGGTCTTTCATAAGTAGAAGATCATTTAGGGGAAGGGAAGAAAGGAGGCTCTTTTTTTCCATCTGTTTCTGTACATTATCTTATTCCCCCTCCCCTGATTTTTTAGTATTAGACAAACCTTTTGTTCTGGGGTGTAATTTACCCTTCAGGTCCGTGCATTTACATGCCGAAAGGAGAGGCAAGCTTAGCTACTTTATTTGTGGGCATTGGATTGGTAGGGAAAGTACAGAAATACCAAAGAGCCTCTGCTCCATTTCCTTGTTCCTGCCCTTGGCGCCTGGCGCTCTCACCGGGGGTTCAGTTAGAGCTAGTCAGTCAGTCAGTGCAGTCACGTAGTAACTTTTCCTGTAAGAATGGGGAGTTTAAAATATAGAGAGATTCAACAATCAAATGAGATAAGTGGATAAATACTATTGAGAAGGAAAACAGATGTCCCAAACAGTAAGAATCCATACAGTTTCTAGGATTGAGACTAAATAAATGTCTCCTCCCTCTGGCCTCACTTGACCTAGAAACAGCCGATGTGGCCCCTATCCTGGGTTCTAGCTTGGTTCATGTTTGGCATTCTTAGAATAGAGTGCAAAGAAACTGTCTCCTGCCCTTTAAATGGAAACCCTTGTTTTCACTGGACTATGGTTTTCGCTGTGCCTGTTATTAACTCTTCAGTTTTGTTAAACAAGGATTACATGTTCATTTTAAGAGAAAAGTTAAAAGCATAAAAACTGAACCTCATTCTTTCACCCAAAGATATGGTTAAAATTCTTAGTGTCAATCCTTCCAGTCTCTTTTCTAGACATACATACATTGTTTTATAACCTGTTTTTTCACTTAATACATTGTGAAAATCCTACTAATCAAATATACCATCTCTGTCATTATTTTTAGTGGCACCATGATATTGCTGTAACAGTTCATTTAATCAGCTCCCTGTTGTTGAACATTTGGTTGTTTCTAATTTTCACCTTAAAAAATCCTTCTACACACATATCTTCTCCAGTTATTCAGTTGTGATAAAATAGAATTTATGGGTCCAAATCATGCATATGTTTCATGCAAGTTTTGATACATATTTTCAAATTCCAAAAAAAGTCATATACCCCCCCAGTCATTTATACATTCCTGGTAGTGTGTGAGTGTTCATCTCCCCTCTGCCACAATAATGGGATGTTTTCATTCCTTTTTCTTTGCTGTTCTGATGGGCAAAGAAACACTATTTGTTAGTGCTACGGTGAATAGATTGATGTAGGCTGTGTTTTTTAAGGAGAAACAGGATTAACAATGTATCAATAATCTGTTGATAGAAGATATGGAGAAAAGAAGCTTTTCCAAGGTAACAACTGCCAACAAAAGATAACTACAAAATAAGAGGGCCTTCTTGATCACCTGATCTTACCAGTTTTGGTTTTCACAATTTAGAAGGTACTGCTGGCAGTGGGTAGAGGCCGGGAATGCTGCTAACCTAGTCCTACAATGCACAGGACAGCCCCCACCACAATTATCCAGCCCCAAATAGGAGTGCTGAGGTTGAGAAACCGTAATTGAAACCCCACCCCATTTCCCAAGGGAAATCCTGCATGCTAGGAAGGGGGTCGAGGCTGCCCACCACACCTGAGAGCAAGGGCCAGATGTGTCCTTACCTCACAAGGCTTAGATTTTCATCAGGCTGCTGGTGTTTGTGAGTTTGATGGGACATGTCCCATTCATCTGAAATAAGGACAACTAGCCACATGCCCTGGAGGTCTACAGACCATTTGGGCCACTTTGTGGAGGGATGGTGGGGAGATTGAGCTAGCGGAGATGAGTTACTTACTGGTGTAACCAGGAAACATGGATATAAACACTAGATCACCAGGAGGGATGTAAGCTCTGCAAAATACAGAATCATGGTAAGAGAACAGAGGGAGTCAGTTGGGGAGAGTGGGGGGAAGAGTTAGAGACTATAGTGGTTGATGTCAGATTGTAGGAGCCAGCACCAGGACCCAAGTCCAGCATAGGCCCTTAGGTTTTATAGTTGGGCTTAACATTTCAAATAAATATCAACCAGAAGACATGGCTTATTCATGCCATGCAAAGAATCACTTCATGTGATGATGCTGTTTAGCTCTTAGTCTAATTCTGAGAGAACAGCTTTCTGGTGCATAACCTAATGTATGCAGCGGACATTGTATACACCCATCCTAACAATTGTGAAATAAATAACTTCTTAAAGTGATTTACTAAGAAGTGTTTCCAATAAAACCCAGTAAAGAGAGTGGTTAAGCAGACAGGGAAGAGAAGAGAAGGAATCAAGTCAGATACCTTACTAAGTCAAGTCCCACAGAGGGGAGTGTTCAGATTCCCAAAAGAGCGCTGGCCGTACCTCAGAACCACCCCAATCTGGAAAAACTGTTGTATGTGTGTGTGGTTTTGTTTTAAATGAGTCATTGTTTAAGAGCTGCCCCCAGGAGCCTGTCCCAGTCAACTCTGGCTCTCTCTGCACCCAGGCCAAGCGGATTTGGCAGCTAGAGGGCCAGCCCCCTGACAGAGACCCAGGGATATGAATGAAACAGTAAGGTCATCTGCCATACCCATAATCTCAGAATAGTTCTTCCCACAAAAGGACACTTGGTAGTCTTAACAGTTTAAATAATTTTAAATTTTAATAGATTTTAAATTTAAAATTATTTTTTAAACTTTTTAATGCAAAAAAATAGTTTTGTTTATTATATATAACCATTTTCTCGAGAATAAATCAGGTTGACATATCATATATGACAGTACAATATGAAAGAGTCCAGAGAATATCAAATTTATTGCATTTGTCATAGTCACTGTCAAAAGCAGTTTCAGGGATTTCTACTTCTAGCCAAGATTATTAGAGTTATAGGACCAGATTTACTCTCCATCCTGAAATAGCGTAAAAAATATGTGAAGCAGTTCTCAAGACACTGAACATTAGACAAGGAAGGACAGTGAACTTTCAGAGATGGCAGACAAGTAAGGTGCGCCTTGTGACTGTCCTGGCTGACTGCTCGGAGAGTTTCCCAACTGTGGAGCAAGGAGGGAAACCCAAGAGGAGCCTGGAGGTGTCCCTGAGTGGAGGAAACAGCTACGAAATAGCCCAAGTGGCTGGAGTTTGCAGGTCAGACAATGTGAGAGGAGAGCTTCACAGAGAAACCAGAGACCAGTGGAGGGTCCCCCTGGAGGCTTCAGCCGAATGTTGGTCAACCCATATGTGTGAGGAAAACAACGGAAGGATTAGAGGAGACCTTCCGGAGCCCACACAGGGCCTAGAGCAGTTTCTGTTCTCAGTCAGAGTGGAAAACCTCACAGTTCGTGCAGCAATGACTACTCAGAAGACTGCCTCTGTGATGGGGAGAAATTAGCCCTGGTCTGAACGCCTCTCCGCCTGCCTAACTACCTTAAAAGCAAGAGCTGGAAGAATCAAACTGTCTCCAAATAACCGATTCCAAGAACAAAGCTCAAAAATATTTCTAGGAATTCGCAGCACCTAATAAGGTAAAATCCACAATGGACTACTGCAAAAAAATGCAAATTAAACTACAGTGACAGAAAGCAGATCTGAGATAGCCTGGGGGTGGGGATGGTTGGTAGGGGTGGGAAGTAGAGGCTGTTAAGGGGCACAGTGAAACTTGGAGGATAGTAAATATGTGCATTATCTTGATTGTGGTGATGGTTTCATAAGTATACATGTCAAAACAAATTAGTTTTATTCAAAATCTACTGGAAACATTTTGGTGTTTTTTTCACTCAACTAGGGATAATCTGAAAAAACTGGGCAAGGCCAGGGATCAGTAGTGCGCAGATCACCTTGTTTTGTTTCCTGCTTTGCCCATGTGGGGCCAAAAAGACTGATCACACGCCTGGGGGAGGGTGGTAGCTGCACTAACACTGAAGAGGCAGTCGAAGACTTTCTTGTACAGATGCGGAGTGCCGGGATCAATATGGCTCCCCAAATACTCAATTGCATCTTCAAAACCCTATTTCCAAATAAATTCCCATTCATGGGTACCAGTGATTAAGACTTGGATATACCTTTTTGAAGAACACTGTCCAAGCTACTACATACCCTAAACTGTAAGAAGAATTGCTTCTGCCGAGCTGTGCTTTGTTTTTATTCCCTGGGCATAGCGGGGGGATGCAGTATTTCATGTTATTTTTCTCTGGCTTTCCACTATACTTAAAACTTTTATTATTCGTAATTTCTCATATTGCATATATTCTTATTCCTTTGTGAAATATGTGTTGGGGAAATGAGCATATGAATGAAAGCATCTGTCAGATTTGGGGGCATGTAGCTCATTAGAGACTTTTACCCAAGGAGTTCCAGAATAGTGCTGGGCCAAGAAGCCTGACTGCTGTGCGCTGTGAAGGGAATGAGCGGCCAGGAAGAGGAGATAATGAATGTCTCTTTCTAAACAGGAAAGAGGCAAGAAAAATGTCTCCTTTTAAACCCTTGGCTCTGAAAGATTGACAGGAAAGAAAAGTCTGCCTGGAGTCAGGTTGCCGTTGACAGGAAGACGCCAAAAGAGAAGGGGATGTTGGAAAACTGGAGAAAACTCCATGGCACTGAAGATGGAGGGAAGGGATGGATCCAGAGGAGTTTCTGAGAGTTGAAGTCAGGTATGCAGACAGGTGAACAATGTGGGGAGTAGTATCCTCAGTGCCTCCCTTTTGATGGAGAGCCTTTTTCCAAGGATTGGGAATAGGAGAAAGGGGTGCGGGGAACCTATAGAAGGACCACCAAAGGGAAGGGGAAAGGGGAGGTCCCTGGGGTTACTGGGATGGTGCTGGGGACCCAGGGCAGGTCAGAGACCGGGAGCCACACATGAGAAATGGTCCTCTCTGAAAGTGCCCTGTGGCTGCCCGAGAGGGTGAAAGGTGGGTGTGCACGAAAAGGAAGGATTTCCTGTGGGAAGACCAGACTGTCACTTCCTTCCCTGCGAGTTACCTACTTCACATTTATTATCAAAGAGTTCAGTACTGTATATACTAGTGAATAGTCCTTGTAAATTTCTTAACAACAAATGTCTACCAAACATAACTCAGCCTCTTATAAACCAGTATCAAAACACTGTTAGTCAGTTACTATTACAAGGAATGTGTCATTTGACCTCTGATAACATGTGGCCTCTCTGGGCCTCAGTTTCCTCATAGCCTTTGGCTTAACCAAATCAGGATAATTCTTGATAACCAGCATGCAGCACTTTGGTCTAACAGCAACTCAGCAAGTCTCCAGCTGCCCAGCTCGGCCCGTTGTGTCCTGGTTAGTGGCTTGTGGCCCTTGCAGTAAGCATCACATCTTGGCTGTCGTCTGAAGACCCAGCCCATGAGACCCTTCTTGCTCTGTGCACGCCCCTTCTCCATCTGTCTTTCTGGTTGCTCATGTCAGGCCCAGCCCCTGTCCCAGGAAGGTGTCTTCCAACTGATTCCTTGTGGCGCCACAAGTGACTCCTCATTCATGCCTCACCAACCAATTGCTTAGACATGCTTGTGCAGAGCCTAGGAACTTTATGTAAGTGTGCTGTGATAGTTGCTGAGATGTCACACTTGCAGTTGTTTTAGGAAAATTTAGGCATCATAATCCCTCAATGAACATAATACCTCCATTAGACACTGTTTCAATGGAAAACCCCAGTACAGTACGTACCATGTCCCCACAACTAGCCTTGCGTGCTTAGAACTGGTTGTTCTGTAGCAGCTTCACCAAGGTGGGTTTCTGGTTTTAGCTTCCACACAATTCAACAGCTCGATCCCCAAAGCCACAAGAAGAGGTCACATAAGAAAGCAAGAGCCACGGTTCCCTCAGCAGAAGCACAGGGGAGCCCACAGACTGGTGTGCTGGTCAGGCATGGCCCATGCTGGACATCCACTGAGCCAGGGTCACCTAGGCAGCTCAGTGAATGTTTCTTGAGCATCTCACCTGAGCCAGCTCTGTGCTGACCTCAAGGGCTCCCTACTCATGAGGAGCTCTCATTTTCTCTAGTTGGTAAGACAGATACAAATGTCATTCAGTTCTACAATAGGTATTTTTAAGACAGCTGTTACGTGCCAGGCACTGCACTAAAGCCAAGATACAGTGAGGAGCCAACAGGTTATCCATGCCCTCAGGGGGTCCATACAGCTTAGAGAAGATAGACCCTGTACCAGTGCACTGAGCCCTACAAAGAACATGCTTCCTGGGGTAGCGTAGGGGCTCAGACACCTGCTGACAGAATAAAGAGAGAGACCATGTCATGTTTACCTTTCCTCACTGTTAGGCTTTAGTAAATGTATTTAATTCACTGGTCTCCAACACCATTCAATACATAATATTACCAGATTAGGGGTCACTAAAACTTTAGTACCCTGGACTGGGAGGTTGCCCTTCCAAATGGATAGGTCCACAGTGGCCCCTCCAGGAAGGTGGCTTCAAGGCTGGAGATGATGAATGTGGGGCTCGTATTAGACTTTAGGAGTTACAGACCTTGCTGGTTTTGCTGTGTCAAACAAAACAAGTAGGCAGACAAAACAAGAAGAAACGTCCTAATTTATCAATGTGAGGTCTGTCATTCAAATGGAAGATAAGAGTAAAGAAGAAAAGAAGTCAACTATATACTAGAGCAGAAACAACCTGATTTTTCAGAAAACAGCCACATATACACTTCCATAGGGAAGTTTAGCCCAGGAGGACTAATTTCTTCTCCAATCAAAACTGTCCACTTTAGAAAGAAACCCTATGGGTTTCAGTACTGTCATCTGTCATAATCCATCAGACAGGTTTCGTGCCCTCCGAGGGCTTCCAGTTTAAGTGGGAGAGGAAAACCCTGAAATGGATGGTGGTGCGTGCCTGGGCAGGAGGAAGTCACTTCCCGGGTCAGTGGTGGCAATGACCCAGGAAAACTTCATAGAGGAGGTGGCATTGAATTCATCCTTGGAGCACAGGGAAGACCTTGACATGTAGGATAAGAGGAAATGTATTTGGGGGAAAGCTGGATATAGGCAATAGCCTGTATGTAGGAAAATCTAGGGCACACTTGAGTAAGAGGGTTTAGTCCATTTGCCTTGACTAAGGGTGATAAGAGGGGCGGTAGAGGGAGATAAATTGGCAAGAGAATTGAGGCTCTGAATTTCAGGCCAAAGAGTGTGGTCCTTGTGTTTGATTTTCCTCCACTATACTGTGGGGATAATACCCTCTCTCCTGCAAGAGTTAAAGTATCAAATACATATGAGCTATATATATTACTAGCATAGTGTCTGACAGAAGTGATTCATAAAAAGTAGCTGATACCATGGCAATGGTAACAATGGACAACCATCATGGTTTTTGACTAGGGAGATGTACTGGACGCTTGGAGATGGGTTTTAGATGAATACAAAACTGCACAAAATAGCACTTTTTTTAATATTAGTCCTCTTACCCATTAATTTCTCTTAAGGACTTAGGTGTCCTTAAGACCTACCTCTGCACAGGCGATTGTATCAGTCAGGTTCTCCAAGAAACAAACCAATAGGAAATGTATAGAGAGAAAGACTGATTTATACTCACACAGTTGTGGAGGCTGGCAAGTCAGAAATCCATGAGGCAGGCCAGCAGGGCAAAAACCCACAATTTCTATTTTATAGTTTGGAAGCAGAATTTCTTTAGGAAACCTGTTATTGCCCTTAAGGCCTTCAACTAATTGGATGAGGCCCACCCACATTGTGGAGGGTAATCTTTACTTACAGTCACTTTGTTGTAGATGTAAATCACATCTACAAAATACCTGTCCAGCAACATCTAGACTAGTGTTTGACCAAACACCTGGGCGCCATAGCCTAGCCAAGTTGACACAAAAAATTAACCATCACAGTGATCTTTGTCTCAGATAAGGAAACTGAGGCAGAACTCAGGATTTGAGAAAATCCTATTTCCCTAGAATATGGCAGCAGGCCTGCCAGGTAACTTTTGTACCATGGTAATTGTTAGTTATTCCTGTTTCCTACATAAAATTTCTCCATAGACCAGAACCAAGCTAAACACCAGTGGGGTTTATTGTGCCAAACGCTGATGCAGCTGGGGGTGCAGGCCTTGGCTTGCTGCCAGGGAGCCCTTCCTGCCTGGAGTTTCCAACAGTGGGACAAGGTGCCTGGGACACAATGGGCTCCTGGTCCCTGGGGGTGCACGGCCACAGCTGTAGAGGAGGTTCAAGCATCTGCTGAGAATGGGACCAGGGCCAGGAGGAAGCTCCCCAGAGGGTCTGCAAATTGTAATAATTATGAGATGCAGGCGTGTTGCTCATAGTTAACCTCAGCCTCAGAAAAGTCCCTGCTTCTTCCTCTTCTTGCACCCCTTCCCCACCCTAAGAAGGCGGCAGAGGCTGGGCAGAACACGGAACCTCCCTGAAATGGAAACCATCTGCGTGCCCCTCACCCCTCCCTCACCGGCCCCCTCTCCCTGGCCAGCCCTACCTGCTTAAACTTGCTGGAAGGGGAGATTGTCAAACTCGCCTTGGCCTTGGTCTCCGTTCACATCTCACCTCATCCTCCACACCCACCCCCAATGGAGCCTCGGGGGTCCCAGAGGACCCACTATCGTCCTGGACAAGTCATGGGTCACCAGCCACCTCGCTTCTGTGCCTACACCCATTAATCATCTCTTCCTGCTGATTTGCATGGCAACCCTCCTGCCCTTGGCTACTCGGGGGAGTTTCTGGTTTCATCGCCTCAATTAACCTTGGTCTCCTGGGTCACTCTGGATTCCCCTGCCAACCTACCACAGACCTGGCCTCCGAAGCCTGTCTGTCTGCTCCAGAAGAGCCTCCTCTTTTCATTAACCCTCCCTTCCCATCAGCAAGCCAGGTTATGCACACAGCACCATCTGCAAGGGATGGCAAAACCCTGGCATGGCAGGAATCTTGACATTCTGGTGGATATCAGAGCTGCAAAGGGCCTAAAAGACTGTCTTGTCCACTCTGGTCCTCCCTACTTCACCCCCATTTCACAGATGCGGAAACAGCCCAGAATGGGGACAAGACTTGCTCATGGTCATACCTCAAGTCAGAGGAAGAGGGAGGCCTAGACTTTGGACCCTCCTCCTTAGCCCCATATCTCTGTCTCCCACACTATGTCGACAAAAAAACGGCTTCTTTAAAAACTTCAACAACTTAGGAGCAAGTGGAAAATGTATGCAGTGTTTTAAAATTGAGTC